GAGAGAGAGAGAGAGAGAGAGAGAGAGAGGGAGGGAGAGCTACGCCGTAGCCACGTCAGGAACGAGATTTAGAGGCCGCGACGGCGGACAATGCACGACACCTGCAACCACCTCGAGAAAAGAGAGGAACGGAGAGATGTATTAGTGGAAGGAAGAGAAGGGAGAAGAGGAGGAGAGCGAGGAAAGGTCGGTCCGGGCGCGATAGTGGCACGGTTCAGGCTACATCGCGGGAGGAAACTGGCTGGTAGCGGTATAAACTCCGGGAGAGACGCGTTTTAAAAGGTTCTTTTCACGCGCGTGGAGAAGAGCGAGATCATCGAGCGCGATGTCGCGTCGAACTAACCTCGCATTCGTTCCCCCGCATTGTTGCAGAGTATCGAGCCAAGAAATACGGCCTCGTCGGTGTAAGTTTCTTCCTTCGTCCAGGCCCGGGCCCGGCGACGATACCACGCGGATAATCGCGGATAGGATGACCCACCGTCACCCGAGTAGCCTCGTCTAGGACACCGCGTCTAAGGTAACGACGAGCTCGATCCACGCTCTACTTAACCCTTCCTCGAGTGCCAAGGTGATGCGGTTAGGTTCGACGAATCCGCGCTCGTTCGCTGGAAAATCATTCCCCTCGCGATCCTCGAGGCTGGGTGGTTTACCGCCGAGTAAAAGAACCAAGTTTCGGTAGCTGTTTCAGTAGGACGAGGCGAAATCGAGAGAAAAGGGCGAAGGACGACGATCGAGTCTCGTTCGTAATAGTTGAAAATCGTGTCGAGAAAGAAAAGAAAAGAAGAGAGAAAGGGTTCGTCGCTTGTTTTATCGAAGGGAAAGGTGACCGATTTAAAAAGAGGTGATGCGAAGGAGGATTGTTGGATCGAGCAGATGGATAATCACGAGAATTGTTGGGGGCCATAATCGAGGTATATATTTGATAAACAAAGAGTACAAAAGAGACGTAGCGTTTGAAACGCGAAAGAGTTACAAGCTTTCTTGGGACGAAACGTCGTACTCGCTGTCGTCGCTGAATCGCGGTTCCCTGATGTTAGGCGTGGAGCCGGATTTATCGTTGGTCAGGACGTAAGTGCCGCGTGGGGTCTTCTTGATCCTTCCTAGAGCGACTCCCGCTTTGAGAACCTCCATTACCAGGTAGCCGGCGCGCGCTTGGGTAATCTTCATGTTCTTCAACACGTATTGCACGATACTCTCGAACGTGGCACCCTCCACGAACCCGTTCATCTCGTAAACCACCTGCGGGAACGGGTTCGTTTCATTTCCTCATTTCTTATAGTCAATTTTTCTCTTTTCTTTTATACTAGTAATATTAGAAAAAAAAGAAAGAGAAAAAGAAAAAGTAAAAGTCAACTAGAACACGTCGGAGAATCGCGATCGCGAACGAATTCGTCCATTCGCTTAATCCAGATTAGACGAGTCGTGGAAAATACCTTTTACAGCTCTCGTATCGCGCTGCAATTCATTCCTTCTCCTTCAAAGGAGCAATATCGTTTTTTATTGGCCTCGTAATTGAGACGTGGTTGCGGCCGTACACGCAACTTGGACGATTCTCGAGCATCGTTTTCGAGACACGTTGGGCGACACGCGACGAGCGTAGATGTCGTGCGAAAAAAATATCCTTGGAGGCGAGGGGACGACGAAAGGAACGTCGACGAGGATGTGGTTACGGTGGGCCGGGCAAGGACGATAATTAACGGCACGATGCATTCCGGAAAATCGGCCCGCGACGAAATTACCTGCTGCGATGAAGGCGAAGAAATATCCTCCGCTCGAATTACTTTCGATTATTTGCAAGAAGAAAAAAGGAAGAAAAAAAGACGGAAGGACGAACTACTACAATTTTACAACGTAAATTGTTCTCGACGCTCTAGATACGAAGAGAAATTTAGAATCGTTTTTTCGTCGGTTGGCACGGAAGCAGCAGGTGATTCCTAATTGAAGGGCGTCCAATGCGCTTCGGTCGACGTGTAATTATCGGGTAGAACGGGGCTCGAAAACGAGAATAGAGACATTATTCCACCGCTCTATCTTTTCCTTTCTGTTTTTGTCTTTCTTCTTTTTTTATCCTCCTTATTATCGCTGCCCCCCTTTTCAGGAAGATATCGTAATCACGATGCTATTTACTATCCGTTTCGAGCAGATCGGATCGAGAAATGGCGGATAAATGAAAAGATGGCGGCGGTGGATCGCACAGTGCCCCTCGATTAAAAGCAGCTAGCGGAGGCGCGAATGGGTCGAGATACGGGCGAAGATAAGATCGGCGATCGTGGGCGAGAGAGCAGCTTCAAGCAACGCGCCTTCTTTATTCTTCGACGCCGCCGAAACCGACGCGTTCCACCTTCTTGGAATTCCTCCGTTTATCCATCCGTTCGTCGTGCTATTATTGCACGGATACACGACGAATATTTGTATCGTAAACCGTTCGATTTAATGAACATTCGAGAAAAATTCGTCTAGCGCACCTTTTTATTTTTTTTACGTTTTCATCGTACTCGATTCGATTATTCGTTTATATCGGAAAGATGCGTGTTCGAAAGATGTCTCGGCAGTTTAAAGGAATCTCCTCCCTCCCCTGAGCCTCGTCACGCGACGAAAACGAGGCCAATTAACCCATCATCGTCGCTAATTGCTCCGACACGAAACGAGTATCCAAGAACGGATACAATTAGATAGCCTCTGCCTATTTCCAATTTTGCGTTTCTAATATCCTATCAAACTCTATTTACGATAACATTCGTCGAATAACGTTTCTCTTCTTTGTAACGTGGCAATTGGACCAATTTGCGTTGCAGAACATTTCTGACCAAAGTTTCGACGATTTTTGTAACATTATATCATATTATCGAACGCTTTCTCAATCAGTTTTCTATTTTCAATCCCAGCTAGGCGATGCAAAAAGGTCGACTCGTAAAACACATTTCACCTTCGTATCCTTTAGATAAAAACCTCGTGTTCACGGTTACCGCTAACAAATCGGTATTATCTATACATTGGTCGTGTCAAACGCCGGTATCGAGAAAGCGTGGAGCACGACGCCCTCCTCTCTCCTTAAAATATCCTCCGTCCAGTCGCGGTGAAACCGTCGTGGTTGGTGCAGTCACGGACCGTTGCCACCACCGCCGGTTCTCCCGAAAGAGAAAGGCTCTCGGATAGAGTCATTACGTTTCGAAGGGATAACTTTCCACCTGCGCCGCATAACTCGTCCAGGTAAACACCTGTGCGGCCAAACTCCTCGAATTCGTCCAACGAACGAAGCGGGAGAAGAAGGTTCGTCGAATCCTCGGGGCCGGGTGTAAATCATCGAAACGTTAGCATAATCTCGATCGAGGAGAGAAAGAGAGAGAGAGAGAAGGGAGGCAGGTGAGAGCGGCGGGGAAAAAGCATCCGAACGGATTCGCCCCTTATCTCCCTGCCGATTTATGGGGCCCAACACCCTTATCGCATCATCGTCCTCGTGCAATTTCGCTGTCACGATACCGAGCCGAGCAAAAGTTTTAAGACTCGTAATTACACCTATAAAGTACGCGTGTCGGAGGAGAAGGATTCGAGCGTTCTCGTTGCGAAAACCTTCCTTCGAGCATCCGATGATGCTACATTGTGCTCGCACGATAATAAATGTCAACCGTTCGCACAGGTGCTGCGATCCTTTTCGAGGGAGGGAATCCTTAAGACCGAGATATCGACGTTAATGACGAGAGAGAGAGAACGAGTCTTTGGAAGACAGGCGATGATCAAAAATTTCTTCGTTTTTCTTTTTTAACATAAAAGAAATAGAGGTGTCGTGAGGTATATTTAGATACGTTTGAAACGAAATACTGGGATTAAAATATTAGAGAAAATTTGCTAGGTCGGGTAGAATTTATACCATCAAGTGGGAGCATTGAAAAATAGTGGAGGAATGGCTACGTTTCTTCTCGGGTTCTGGCGTTGTTATTATTATTATTATTAGTACCGTGTAACGACTGTTTTTACGCTGTACACCCGATACCGTGGAATTACTCTTTGCCCTTACCATCTCGGCTCGTCCTCCCTGAGGATGGAGGAGCAGCAACGACGATCCCCTCGTTTGGGAACACTTTCTTTCGTCGTGTTCCCAACAACGATATTCGTCGATTGAAATTACAAATATAACCGAAACGCGTGATCCAGCAGCGTTTTATCCAATCGTCGAAACTCGTGAAAAAACGTGGGCGCGAGCCCCAACTGGATCGAGAGAACTGGATCGATCGATCGAGGCGTGCGATTTACGGAGGGGGGAGGGGGGGGGATAAGGGGGGATCTCGTAAATACGAATTAAACACACGGCTGCGTCGATTTTCCACGAGAGACAAATGGTATTACCATAGATTACAGGTATACAACGGCATGAATCGATGTGGAAATGGCTCAATTAGTCGCAACGAGTCGACTGTAACGCGATCCTTCTCCTCGTCGAGGTAATTGTCGTATACGCGAATCGAGAAGCGATTTTCGAGTGGACTCGCAATCGAGAGTATCTTCGTTTCGGTGTCCCAGCTAATAGTTAAATCACGGCGATTACGGGACGATGCATTCGTTGGAAACGAGTTCAGTAGGCCTGCTCTAGAAGAAGAGGCTCTGCTTGAAACTGACGCGAATCCTAAACCCGATCGATTTAAATCGATCGATTCTCTGCTTGCGTCCGTCCCATTTTTTTTTTAATGCAAATTGGAAATTATTTAAATTCGACGACACCCAACGTTCTCGAAACGTCGATCACGAGATTATAAACGTCTCGATAATAACTTTGTATGGAACAGAAAGAAAAAAAGGATCGGAGTAAAATCGGCAGAAACGTTTACGAGCTCTGTTGCAGCTTCGATAACGAGTCTTGGTTACCGGATATCGTCCATCACGAACAAATCCACGCGCATTCCTTCGAGGATACGTGAACGTACGCGATTAATTTCAACGATCCGCCCTTTAATATTCCCGATCGATCCTTAAATCGGAAGGGAAAAATAAGAGAGGATTCCCTCGGTTCGTCGGTCGCTTTGTCCCTCGAGACGGCTTCTCTCTTTCTTTCCAACCGAACGGAATAACTGAATTGGACCGCCAACACGTCGAGCTCGTTACGCGATGATGCCGCTTCTCTTCCCCTCTTTCTTTTGCTCTTTCTTTCCATTCCCATCTCATCTCGACCGGGTAATAATAATTATGCTAGGAATCGAGATTTTTCGCGGGTGAAACCGGTCGGGCGCCTCCCTCTGGATTATCCATCGGTAGCCGTCAAAACTGACGAATAACCTTTGGAACGTGGACGCTGGATGATTCTTGGCGGTGTTCGTAGAATGATTACGTTTACGAAATCCGGCGGAAGAAAGAAAAAGCTCTCGGAGGAGGAGGAGGAGGAGGCCACCCTGATCGAGGATTACCATAAACAGCTCGGCTCGGTCGTGCATGCAGGTTAGCGCGCTACTAGCAAATACACGTGTAAATCCCGTGTTTCAGCTCTTATTCCGCCTCCCTCTACGCTCCCCTACTTTCCCTGCCTAGCCACCTTCCTTCGTGCCCTTTCCCTCGTGTCCTCGAGACTCCTCGTGGCGAGTGCTCGTGCCGTCGAATCGGCAAAAAGAAGGGCCGCCGCGGTGTATCGCGGTCGCGTGACTTTCATGCTCGCCCGACCACCTTCTCCTCTCCGTCCCTCTTCCTCCTTCCGTCCCAACAACGCGCGTTCGCCCAGATCTGGCCCACTCCCGTGTATCCCTCGTGAAATTCCACATTATTCCGTCTCCGTTTCTCCTATCGTACGATTTCTCGCACGATATCGTATTTCGATAAACGACTTGCGAGTTTGTTGGCAAACTTTTTACGAGTCCGAATGATAAATATTTATTAAAAATAAGTTTTAAACGTATACAACAACTCCATTGGCAACTCGAGTTATTTACCACGCTAAGAGATAAGAGTAAAAGAATGAAAGAAGAGAAAGGGAGAAAGAAATGGCGAAATGTGAGGGATCGGCGGTAAAATGGTAGCCGGTTGGCCGCGTTCCGTCTATTGGATTCAAAGCAGAGGAGACCTGTTTACCATATATTTTCCAAGGAAAGCATTGTCAGCTCGGAAACGGGAGAATACAAAAGCGCACGATGAAAGATAGCCGGTGGGTCCGCGAATGGGTGAAACGCGCGTTGCGCATGCTCCCTGCGAGCGAAACATTAAGGCAAACGCGAACGAACGTTCTCTCTCTCTCTCTCTCTCTCCACGTTCGATCCACCGCGCATAATAACCGCCGCTTTTCTCTCTCTCTCTCTCTCTCTCTGGTTAAAGAAGCGTAGCTACGCCACCGTGTCGCCGAGGTATGCCTGCCCCCGATCTAGCTTTTCTAGATCTGGAACGAACGATCCAGCCGACGAATCGCCTTTCCTTCTTTCGCTTTCGTGGAAAGAAGGCGAGATATATGTTTCGCCGTCACGAGACCGTATCCAACCGTATG